TGGGGTCTCTGGGTGGCCCCTTGGGCTGCCTTAGAGCGCTCGCGGTCCGACAGACGCCCTCGGAGGCCCTCTTGGAGCCCTCTGTCGAAAGTCTTTGGGCGTTTCTTGGGCGTCTTTGGGACGTCTCACGGGCCTCCTGGGCTCGTCTTGGGGGCCTCTTGGGCCATCTTGGCGCCGCCTTGGGCTGTGGTGATGCTCTTGGAGGCCTCCTGGACCGTCTCTGGACAATATTGGGGGCCACAGAGGCGGTCTTGGCTGCTGCGAAAGCAACATAACGTAAATGATAACAGTGTTGAGAAAGCCATGCGTGCTTGATGCTTTTGGCCTTTCGGAAGCTTCATCGGGGACCTCTGGGGCCGTCAGCTCGCCGTCTTCGGCCATGGGTTGCCAAGAAATCCACCAAGAGACATCCCAAGAGACTCCGAGAGGCAGTCAAAAGCTTCGGGCCTTCTGCTGGCTCTCCTCCTCCTCCTCCTTCTCCTCAGCCTCTTCCTTCTCATTATCCCTCCTCCTCCATTTCCTGCTCCATCCTCCTCCTCAGTCGACAGATAACGGCTGCCCCTTTCTTGCTCCTACAGTTCCCTGACTGTCCCAACTCTCCTGGACATCGGTTCGGAGGCACCCCGAGGGCTCGCTTCCTATGTTCTGGGGACGTCCACCACTCCCGTTTCTCTCCCTCTCCTGACCCTCCGTTTCCTCTTTCGGCCACGGACGCGCTGCCAAAAAAACAGTTGGTTGTCAATCGTCGTCGTAAGCGTCGTAGTCGTCATCGTCGTCGTCGTGGTCGTCATCACGTCGTCCGTGTCCCCCATCTGCCTTTCCGGGGAACCACTCCGCACAAGAGTATGTGTGCACCCTCACCCTTGTGTTCCTCAACCTCGTGAGCCTCCCCATGCTCGCCCTCCTCCTCCTCCTCCTCCTCCTCCTCCGCCTCCTACGCCTACTCCTCCTCGGCCTCAGCCCCTATGCTTCGTCTCCTTCCTCTTCCCACTCATTACCATCATCCTGACGTTCCTACTCCTCCTCCTCCTCCGACTTCTCCTGCCGCTGGCTTTACACCCCCCCTCCCTCAACGACATCATCATCGTCATCATCACCGACATCATCCGCGTCATCATCATCATCATCAACATTATCGCCATTACTTTCCTCCTCCGTCTCCTGCTGCTCATGCTCGCCACGCTCTACCCACCGCTGCCCCTCCTCCTTGTCAGCCGCCCTTCCCCTGCAAATACGTCCCTGATCGCCTCGCTCTCCCCCCTGCTCTCCCCCCCTCCTCGTCTTCCCCACCCCGTCCCTCTCGCCCCCCTCCTCGTCCTCCTCCTCCCCCCTCGCACCTCTTCCTCCTTTCCCTCACCCCTCCTGCTCCCGAGCGTCCTCCGCCACCTGCTCCTCAACATCCTCGTCGTCGCTGTCTTCAGGGTCGGCGGCACCGTCCGTAAGGCCTTCGCAATAACTACTTCCAGCTTCTTCAACATCACAGTCATCCCCTGTCGTCGTCGCCTCCCTTCCTGCCGGCTCCGTCTCCTCCCACCTCTCTTCCTGTCGGCTCCTCCTTCTGCATGTTCCTCCTGCTTCCTCGCTCGCCTACTCAACCACATCCACCACCATCACCTCCTTCTGCCTCCTCCTGCTCCTCATCCTCCTGCCTCCTACCAAGGTTCCTCCTCCTCCTCCTCGATATCGTCGTTGCCCTTGCCTTCGCCCTCAGCCCTATCCTCATCCTCATCCCCACCCTCCTCTGCTTCCTCCTTCCAATCCTCATCATCTTCATCATCATCATCCTCCTCACCCTCAGCATCCTCCTCCTCCTCATCATCATCACAATCACCATCATCATCATCATCATCATCATCATCATCATCATCATCATCATCATCACCATCATCATCATCAGCATCAGCATCAGCATCATCATCATCACCATAATCGTCATCCAGATCATCATCATCATCATCAGCGTCATCATCATCATCATCATCATCATCATCATCATCATCATCACCATCATCATCAGCATCAGCACCATCATCATCACCATCACCATCATCATCATCAGCATCAGCATCATCAGCATCAGCATCAGCATCAGCATCATCAGCACCAGCACCAGCACCATCACTATCATCAGCATCATCATCGTCATCATCATCATCATCATCATCATCATCAGCAGCAGCATCAGCATCAGCATCAGCATCAGCAGCATTAGCATCAGCACCATCATCATCATCATCATCAGCAGCATAATGCTCCTCATCATCCGTATCCATGTTGGCTCAAGCTTCAGCCAAGCAAGCTGCGGCCGAGACACCTCAATCTACACCCGGTCCACGATCGCTGGCGATTCTTTCCATAACTCGACCTGTGGGTCTTTCATGTTTCTTGCCCTCCCGGTGCTGAGCGCGGGCATCAGCGCTGCTCTTCGCGTCCAGGCCGTGTCCTACCAGCTTCAGGATGACCTGGGATCAGAATCAGTGGCGCAACCAAGGCTGGGTGCAGCAAGTCGATGGCAGCTGGACCAAGAACGGCCAGACCTGGAGCGGAGGTGCAGCCTCGTGGGGTGCCAAACCATGGAACTGAAAGGTCATCGGTACACAACGTTGGACGCCCAAGACCAAGTGCTCCCACTGTGGAGCGAAAAAAACTTCAATCCGAGTTCTTCGACGACGGCTGCTGCCCCCCCGCAAGGGGACTGGCGGCGTTACAGCGCAAGTTCAGACCGTGGCGGCGATGCTACATGCAGCGGCTCCCGAGAGCCTGCCACCCCCCCCCGAGGCCACGACGACGTCGGGAGCCTCGAGTTCCGCCGCGGACTACACCACTGCGCAGAGGCAGATCATGATCTCCCAGATGGAGGCAGCAGCGGCCGCGCTGGTGGGCGCCGAGCACGACGTCGTAAAGCAAGGGATCCAGCAGCAGATACGGGAGCACCGCAAAATCATTCGCGCGGACAAGCCCCTCGGCCAGAGGTACGACGGCTGCAAGGACGCGCTGACCCGGGGGCAGCGGCAGCTAGCGCAGGCCAAGGTGGCTCAGGAGCTGGCCGCCAAGGCCGTCTCCGCGGCGGAGAAAGAGGTGAAGCAACTGACCGCGGAGCTTGCCGACCTGGAGGCCCTGGTGGCTACGGCAAAGGACAAGGAGACGGACTGCAGGCTGAAGGCCCCGATCGAGGCCCTCCATGAGTCAATGCAAGCGGCCGTCCACCAGCTTCAGCAGCTCGTCGGCGTGGACGCATCCGTTCCCGAGGAGGCCACGAAGCAGGGCGACATTCTCCTCAAGCGCTTCGAGGCCACCATGCAGGAGGCGCAGAAGCGGCCCAATCTCCTCCGGGCGGAGGGCCCCAGGCACCGACACTCGAGCGAGGGGCCGCCCGTCCTGGGGGAGGACGCTCCTCGGGACCCCCCGTGGCGGCTGCAGGGCAAGCAGACCATGCCGACCTACCAAGCGTCCCTGCTGAAGTACTTCCGGGCCTCGGGGGACAGCCAGCCATACCCGACCTCGAGGGGGCGGTCGACCGGGCCAGCCCCTCGCGAGGAGAGCGCACCCCCGAGCCACGGCCCGATCCGCTCCAAATCAGCGGTAACTTCTCGCGAGGGCAACGACCACGACGCCGGCTAAATCGCGAGCGGTGGCACTATCATCGACAGCGAGCTGGCCAGACGAACGTCGAGAACTTCAAGATCGCCAGCGAATGTCCAGACACTGGATCCGCATGAATCCTGGCAGCTGCACCGAGTGGGGCAGGCGCACTCGGCCCGCAACATCTTCATGGATGATTTCTTCTATGCGCGCGGCATCCAGCTCGCGGGCGTCCAAGAGAGCCGCATCGAGGGCAACCGGTGCATCGACCTCCCGCGTTACTTCGCCTTCACGTCCTCGGCGGCCGCGGACGGCCAGGGCGGCGCGCAGATCTGGCTTGTGGCCGCACCAAGCGGGTGACCGGACCTCCGGCGATGTGCTCTGGTCAGCGCTCGGTTTTTCCTCGAGCTCGGCCTCGTGGGCCCGATGCCTGGCGATGGCAATGGCGACGTGGTTTCGTCAATCGGCGGTGGTGATATCTGGTTTTGTCGACCAGCGGCTCTTCCGCGATCTTGGCCTCGTGGTCGCCGCGGGCCCGTCAGAGGTGGATCTGGTAAGCAAGACTGTGATTTTACCCCTGGTTCAGGGGTCGGGCTAGAGGCAGAGAAGGGGGCTGAACTGACTGGGCCCCGGATAAGAGCAGATCCGCTCAAAATTGATCCCGGAAACCTCTCTCGGGGTCCATCCAGCGAAGCTCTTCACCCCAGATCCGTTTATGACTGAAGCCTCGAGGGCTAACAATTTGTGTCGGGGGGCGACTTGGGGCCCCCGTGGGCTGCTCCCAGGCCGTCTTGGGCCACCTTGGACCCACCATGAGGCCATCTTAGCCCACTCGGAGGCGTCCCCTCGGGCCTGTATCGGACCGACCTCGGGCATCTTGAGGCCTCCTGAGGCCGTCCGCGTCGCCTGAAGCCGCGCGCTGCCGCGCTCCTGCAGGGTTCCTGCGGATTCTGCGGGGTTCTGGCGGCATCCCGCCCGTGACCAGGGCCAGAGTTCGAGGGTTCCACCCCGTAACCCCCACGGTGGGAAGCATTAGTCGATCAATACACACTCATTCATGTGAATGTGTTCTCCGTCTGTGCCTCCTCCCTCCCTCCCGCACTCCTTCCCTCCCTCCCCAACCTCCTTCCGGAAAGCCGCGCAGGTTTCCCTCGCACTTCTTTGGCCCAAAGAAGACCTCCGAGGCACTGTGCAGCTGTTACTTTGCATACTCTGGCGCGCCACCTCACATGTACATGAAGGGAGCCAAGCCGACGGACGGCAGAGGGTTCCCCGTACCGCGCCGGTCAATTGAAGGATCATGGCAAACAAAAACCCTAGGATTACGGCAAGGACGGAGAAGTACAGATGAAACCCGGTGTAGCAAGTAATAGCTGGAGCCACGTCGACCACACGGTGCCTCTTTACGACGTGGCAATTCACCACCGAAGCCAACTGCTCGACCAGTGGGGCCACACATAAGCCCCACTACAAATCTTCACTACGAATACTAGCTTGCGATATTTTGCCAAAAGAACATACGCGAACGCTGCTGACAAAGCGCAACACGCCTTGCAATCCGCCACCGTGCCCCCTGGCACGTTGGGGCGCGCTAGATTGCTGAAGGCTTTTGTAATATTCGAATCGCCCCCCCCCCCCCCCCTCTGGGTCGCGTCGTGCTGCGCGCATCACCCATGCTCCCGGGGGATCTCTGGGCGGCCACGGCGCCTCCCCGGGGCCCTCCGAGGCTTCCATGACGGCCAAGGAGACCCCCAAAACAGTCCGCCCCGAGTCGCCGAAATATCGCTCAGAGACGCCCAAGATGGCCCCAAGATGACGCAAGAGGCTTCCAAGGCGCCCCAAGAGACCTCCAAAAAGTCTCCCCAAAAGGGCGCCCAAAGACAAAAATCATTGATTGTCCTTGCTTGCGTTTTTGAATGATGTTGGCGTTCTCGCCTCTTAGGTTTTCCGACGTTCCAAGAAGGCCCAAGAGGACCCCGAGGTCATGCCAAAACGGCCCCAGAGGCCTCCAAGAGAGCCCCAGGACGGCCTGGGAGCGCCACGCGACAGCCCAAGAGGCGCCCAAGTCGGCCCCAAGACGGCCCCAAAAGGAGCCCCAGTGAGGGAACACGAACTGACAATCCGAGCTTTCCGCCCCAAGGGGGGGCCCCCCAGGAGGCCCGAAGAGGCGCACGCCCCAAGAGGCCCCCAAGAGGCCCCCAAGAGGCCCCAAGAGGCCCCCAAGAGGCCTCCCAAAGGCCTCAAAACTACCTCCAAAAGGCCCCAAGAGGCCCCCACGAGATACCAACGAACATCCACTACGCCCCTCCGGTGTCCCCTCGAAAGAGAGCCGCCAAGCATGATGGGCAGGCACGGCGGCGGGACTTGCCGCAGGCAGCTGGGTAAAATTGAAGCTCCGGTGAAACACCATAGGGGGGTGAAATCAAGCAGGCTTCTTTCAACGGAAGCGGCGATCGGGGCGATGGCCTTGCGATTCCACTTGACGGCATCGTCAAAAGCGAGCCCGACCGCTTGCGAGAGGCCCGCGGCAGCCTCGACGATGCCCATACAAATCCAGAGTCCAGAGCGCCGTGCTTGGAGACGTTGAAGATCAGCACCCCCGTGGCAGCGTCCCAGATCCGCACCGTCCCGTCCCAGCTCCCGGTGACGAAGCGGTCGCCACCGGCGCCGAGGGCCGCAACCGCCACGACGGGGCCGCCGCGGCCCCTCGCGACGCAGAAGTCTGCGCCAGACGCCGCCTCCCACCCCCGGGCCGTCTGGTCGAAGCTCCCGGTGACGAAGCAGTCGCCACTGGCGCCGAGCCGCCACCGCCCGGACATCGCCACCGTAGCCCCTCACAAGGCGTAGCACATGGCCGTGCTTGTCCCTGACCTCCCTGCTCGGGCCGCCCACCGCAACGCAGAGGTCCGCGCCGGACGCCGCGTCCCAGACCTGAGGGACAACGATAGGGGGACACTGGCAGAGGGGGGAATGCATCGACATGGAATCGGCGATACATCGCCGCTAGATGGGCGACAGGCCCCCGATGGTGAAACCGCACCTTCCTGTGCAGGTTGGGGCCATCAGGCACTATCGGCGATCAGTGGGCGATTGGAAGTAGGGGGAATAGGGTGGTAAACGTGGTAGGCGTCAAAGCACTTGAATGTGCTGTGCGATTTCGATTCGATGCTGTGCAGAGATTGTGCTGTGCGGTGTTTTTGCGGTTTTTGCTGTAGTGGTCCGTGGCAATGTGAATTGAATTCGTGCTGTTGGGTAGCAGTCGAATACAAAACCGAAAATCAGAGGGGGGGAAGCAGAACAATCAGAGAAACAAAAAACATACAACCCATAGAAACGATTATTCAACAGAAAATCAAAAAAAACGAACAAAAATCTGTATTCTGATTGTTTTGCTCAGGGATTGTCCTTGGAAAACAACTGGTGTCTTTGATGTCTTTCGGTGCTCTTTTTTATGTTTTTTGGTTTTCCTGTTGTTTTCCTGGGATCTGCATGGTTTTCCCTTGTCTTTCAAATCCGCCGACCCTGTCGGCGTGTGCGAGGGGCTTCTCCGTTCGAGTTGTCGTCTCCGTCGTCTCCTCGTCTTCGTCGTCTTCACGATCGCCTCCTCGCCGTATCCGTCGTCCCTGTCCCCTGTCCCCTGCTCCTCAAGCGTGCCATCCCAGGTGAAATTGTACAACGTCGTTTTGTAGTCGAAGGGAAGTCCCTTTCCTTTGATCCCTTCTCCGCGGGGGGGGGTCCCAGGGAGTGATCCCGGGGAGGGGTCCCGGGGGGGTCGCCACCCAGATTCGTTTTCCTCGGGCGGCCCTCACATATCGAACAGCCTCAATGAAGATGGCTCCCAAGATTGCCCACAAGAGCCCCGTGTCGCTCAAAGATCGGCCCAGCACGGCCAAGATGGCCCCAAGACGGTCCAACAAGCCTCCTAGACGTCCCAGGAGCTCTCCAACAACACCCCCACCAAGGCTCCAAGAGGCTCCTCCCCTCCTCCTCCTCCTCCTCCTCCTCCTCCTCCTCCTCACCCCTCCTCCTCATCCACCTCCTGCAATCCTTCCTCCTCCTCCTCCTGCCACTCCTCCTTCTCCCGCTGCACCTCCCCCCCCTCCCTTTCAACTGCGTCGTCTACAGGGTCGGCGGTACCGGCCGTAAGGCCTTCGCAATCTAACCGAAACGTGTGTTTTGATGGTTTTATTCAGGAGTTGTCCCTGAAACATGATCGACCCACGAACCCAGAAAGGAATATAGACATGAAAGGCATGGCAACGTTTCAAAACACCTGATTGGGCGACGGGCAAATGCAATACTGAATGTATCGATTTCGATGTACTGTGCCGAAGGCTGTGCTGTGTTACGCCGTGCTGAACTGCGATGTGTCATGCCGTGATTGTGCTATACATATATGGTCGATCCCCCCCCCCAGCGACCCCCCAGAGCGCCCAAAGCACGAATACACAACTCAACTTTGGCCTGCCATCCAGGCTGACGAACTCATCCGCTCGGCCCATCCGTCACGGGCACCGCGCGCGCAAGCATATCGGTTTCGGCCGAGGCCACGAAACACTGTGTATCACATGTGTTTCTGGTTTTTCGGGTCTGGGAACCAACGAAACACTGCGTATCACATGTTTTTTTTCTGGTTGTTCTTGCTTCTGGAGCTGAAATGCTCGCCGCGGCCTCGCCCCACCGCTCCCCCACCTCCTGTTTGTCGGCACCTGAAAACCAGAAAAACCAGAAAAACATGTGATATACAATGTTTCGTTGGTTCCCAGACCAGAAAAACCAGACAAACATGTGATACACAGTGTTTCGTGGCCTCCGAGCAAGAAAACACTGTGTACTCTTCGGGGACTACCCCAGAGCGCCCAAAGCACGAATACAAAACTCAACTTTGGCCTGCCATCCAGGCTGACGAACTCATCCGCTCGGCCCATCCGTCACGGGCACCGTGCGCGCAAGCATATCGGTTTCGGCCGAGGCCACGAAACACTGTGTATCACAGGTTGTTCTTGTTTTTCTGGTCTGGGAACCAACGAAACACTGCGTATCACAGGTTGTTCTGGTTTTTCTGGCTTCTGGAGCTGAAATGCTCGCCGCGGCCTCGCCCCACCGCTCCCCCACCTCCTGTTTGTCGGCACCTGAAAACCAGAAGAACCAGAAGAACCAGAAAACTCCTGGGTGGGGGACGGTAGGGGGTCTCGCCGCATTGCGTTGCAGGACCGCCGCCCCTCCCCACCTCCCCCCACACGGTGTTCGCCAGCTGCGATCGCCACTCCATGTTCTTCTGATGGGCACGATGCCAGCGATCCGCCCGCACCGCCGCCAGCTCGCTCGCTCGCCCCCCTCGTTTTCCCTTTCCTCATGCTCCTCCTCCTGCTCCTCCTCCTCCTCCTCCTCCTCGTCCATCTCCTCTTCCTCCTTTCCTCTTCCTCTTCCTCCTCCCCCACCTCCTCCGCGTGCAAGAAATCCAACAACGTGTCGCGGACATCAACGAACTGTGCCCCTCCAGGAGTTTTTCGGGCGTCCTTTTAGGACTTGTCGGGGCCGTCTTAGGGCCCCCATTGGGCGCCCTGGGAACCCGCAAATCATTTCGGACGCTGCGGAAGAGGCCTCCCGATAATCTCTATAGGCAGCTCTGCTTGCCCCCGTTGTGGTTATGTTGGGTGCCTTTTGGGGCTCTCTTGGGCTGGCTTGTAGCTCTCATGGGTACTCTCTGGTCCCTCTTGGGCCGCCTTGGGGCTCCTCGGGGTGGCACTGTGAAGACGTCGTCGTCGTCGCCGTTCGCCGATCGGCGGCGTCAACTGTTGTAATCGTCGTCCATCGTCGTCGTCGTCGTCGTCGGTCGTCGCCGTCGACGACCGTCGTCGTCATCGTCAATCACCGTCGCCGATCACCGTCGCCGATCGTCGATCGGCCCCGAGCCCTCCCGCCCACTCCTCCTCCTCCTCTCCTCCTCCTCCTCCTCCTCCTCCTCCTATTCCTCCTCCTCCTCGTCCTAATCTGCCTCCTCTTCCTGTTCCTCCTCCTCCTCCTGAAATCATGTTCCCGGAGACGCTTCTGGGGACAGGATTTCGAACGATGCAGAAAAGACTGGGTCCAGGGTGGCTCTGCGCACGCGGACAGCGTCGCCGCCGTCGGCGCGGCCGTCGTCGTCGTCGCCGTCGATCGTCGATCGGCGACGTCGACTGTTGTCATCGTCGTCTATCGTCGTCGTCGTCGTCGTCGTCGACCGTCGTCGTCGTCGTCGTCGTCGTCAATCACCGTCGCCGGTCGTCGTCGCCGATCGTCGATCGCCCTCGAGCCTCCTCCTCTCTCCCCCCCTCCTCCCCTCCACTCCTCCTCCCCGCCTCCTCCTCCTTCTCCGCTTCCTTTTCCTCCTCCTCCTCCTCCTCCTCCTCCTCCTTCGCCTTCTCCGTTTCCTCCGCGCGGAAGAAATCCAACGACATCTCGCGCAAATCAACGAGCTATGGCCCTCCGGGCCTTTTTGAGCGTCCATTTGGGGCCTTTTGGGGCCGTGTTAGGGCCCTCTTGGGCGTCGTGGGAACCAGGAAATCATGTTCCCGGAGAGGCTTCTGGGAACATGATTTCGAAAGAGGCCCTCCTGGGCCTCCCTGAGGCCGTGTTGGGAGCCTCCTGGGCCAACTTTGGGGCCTCTTGGGCCGTCTTGGGGGTTCCGTGAGCTTCACAGGACGACCCTTTTGGGCCGTCTTGGGCCCTCTTGGGTCTCTCTTGGGCTGTCTTGGGGCTCGGGGGCGTCTGGGGCACTATGAGGACCAAGCAAGCAAATATGCTGAAAACGTACGTTGTACAACGGGAATGGGCAGATTTGTATCTTTTGAAGGCCCTCTTCGGCCAGCTTCAAGCCATCTCGGGCCCTCTTGAGGCGTTCTTGGACGTCTTGGGGCCCCCTTGGGCCTCGCTGAGGCTGTCGGACAGCGTCGCCGCCGTCGGCGTGGCCGTCGTCGTCGTCGCCGTCGATCATCGATCGGCGGCGTCGACTGTTGTCATCGTCGTCGATCGTCATCGGTCGTCGTCGTGGTCGTCGTCGTCGTCGTCGTCGTCGTCGTCGTGAATCACCGTCGCCGGTCGTCGTCTCCGATCGTCGATCGCCCTCGAGCCTCCTCCTCCTCTCTCCCCCCCTCCTCCCCTCCACTCCTCCCCCCCGCCTCGTCCTTCTCCTTTTCCTCTTCCTCCTCCCCCTCCTCCTCCTCCTCCTCCTCCTTCGCCGTCTCCGTCTCCTCCGCGCGGAAGAGATTCAACAACATTTCGCGAAAATCAGCGAAGTGTGGCCCTCTGGGAATTTTTGAATGTCATTTTAGGCCCTTTTGGGGCCGTCCTGGGGCCCTCTTGGGCGTCCTGGGAACCCGGAAATCACGTTCCCGGAGAAGCTTCTGGAACATGATTTCGAACGAGGCCCTCTTGGGCCTCCCTAAGGCCGTTTTGGGGGCCTCCTGGGCGGGCTTTGGGGCCTTTTCGGTCGTCTTGGGCTGTCTTGGGGTTTCTCGGGGGCCACTCTGAGGACGAAGCAAGCGAGTATGCTGAAATTGTACGTTTTACAAGAGGAATGGGTAAAGTTCTGCCTCTTGAAGGCCCTGTTGGGGCCCTCTTCGGCCATCTTCAAGGCATCTCGGGCCCTCTTGGGGCGCTCTTGGACGTATTGGGGCCCTCTGGGGCCTCGATGAGGCTGTCTTGTGTGCCTCTTGGGCTGTCACGCGGGCAGCGTCGCCGCCGTCGGCGTGGCCGTCGTCGTCGCCGTCGATCGTCGATCGGCGGCGTCGACGGTTGTCATCGTCGTCGATCGTCATCGTCGTCGGTCGTCATCGTC